TTAGAAATGCGGCTGGAGGGCGCCTGGGTGGCTCAGTTGGTTAAGCGACTGCCTTCGGCTCAGGTCATGATCCTGGAGTCCCGGGATCGAGTCCCGCATCGGGCTCCCTGCTCAGCAGGGAGTCTGCTTCTCCCTCTGACCCTCTTCCCTCTCGTGCTCTCTCTCTACTATTCTCTCTCTCAAATAAATAAATAAAATCTTAAAAAAAATAAAAAATTAAAATTAAAAAAAAATTATCCATAGTGAAATTTCTCAATTTTGGGTTTTTGAAAAGGTCTTGAAAGATTTCTCTTTTAAATATTAAAGGTCAACTGTGGGTACCTGGGTTTTTCTATTAATGAACCTCCCCCCTCAGAAATCTTCACAGGTCTTTAACTTACCTCCATTTGATATACTTTTGAGTTCTTTTAAAAAGTATTTTTATTTATTTACTTTTTTAAGATTTTATTTATTTATTTTACAGAGAGAGAGACACAGCGAGAGCGGGAACACAAGCAGGGGGGGTGGGAGAGGGAGAAGCAGGCTTCCCGCCGAGTAGGGAGCCCGATGTGGGGGTTGATCCTGGGACCCTGGGATTGTGACCAGAGCCAAAGGCAGATGCCCAACGACTGAGCCACCCAGGCGCCCCTTAAAAAGTGTTTTTAAATGTGGAAATCATATACATTCATTCTGGAAAAGTTGGAAAATACCAAAAGGCATAAAGGAAAAAAATAATCACCCAGAATCTTATCATATGAAGAAAACATATGGAGAGAAACATTAGCCTATTTCCTTTGATTTCCATGTAATTTTGTCTTGTTTTAATGCAGTTAGAACAATAACATAAAGGGAATTTTGTGTATCCTTTTTCATCTGTGACATTACTGTTATCTGTGAAAACTCTGTCAATTACGCATTTTGCTGACCACATCCTACTCTTTTGAGTGATCCTGCCATTCCTGAACTAGTCCCCATTTTTTGATGGATGGATAAGTTCCAGTTTATGCTTTTATAAGTAGTGCCAGATTTTTATTCCTAGAGCTTTTTATCTATTTCAGATTACTGCCTTGATAGATTTTAGATTTGACGTTATAGGCACTTGGTTACTCACTGTAAGTAGAAGCGCAGAGAAACAGCCCTCGGGTGGCAGATGCAGCTTGGGCAGCCAGCCCCCCGCTTCTGATCCTGTCTTCTCTTCTGCAGGCTTCCACCTTCTCTTTGGAGCTTTAAGCAAAAGGTCCGATGTTCTTAATTACAGTCCTTCCTGCAAGCCTTTCCTAGCTAGTAGAAATGGGGAGTCCAAGGCAGTCCCGTTCGGGTGCTCAGGAGGGGCAAGTCTAGAGTCTGCGGGTTGCTTCGGCTTCTGCTCTTACAGAACCACACCCCATGTAAAACTGTTGTGGTGGCCTAAAATGATTCCTGTTTGTGGTTTACTGTGCTACCTTGAAAGATGAGGAAGTAATATTGTGATGTATGATGATGGGCTGGCTGGGCTCAACTCACCACTTTCCCAGTCATCTCCCCTCCCACTGCCCCCACACCATCCGTTTGTGCTGCAGGTGTTTGGAGCTTTTGGTCAGTTTGCCAGTCCATGCCTTTAACCTGCAGGCCCGTCTCCTGGGGATGTACTTCCCATTCTCCACATTCACCCTGCCAGCCCTAGTCATCCGCTAGACCAACTCCCAGGAGCCTTCCAGCACCCTCTGCCGATGGCCGTCGGCACCCTCACCCGCCTCCATCCCGGGCCTGCCCTGCCTTCTGCACTGGGTGCCTGTGTTTGCTCATCAGTGAGCCTTTGGAACCAGACCGAGCGCCTCTCCGGGACTGGTCTGTGTCACCCTCGTTTCTGCATTCTCCGTCCCACCCCCGGCACTTGGGGGGCTTGGGGCTCACTGACACACGGGATGGTTTCGGGGCTGATGTTCTCTGTGGCTTTGTCTCAGGTCTTTCTGTCTGAGTGGAAGGAGCGCAAAGTGGCGCTCTCGCGGCTCACGAGTCTGGAGATGAAAGACGACTTCCTGCATGGGCTGCAGATGCTGAAAGGTCTGCAGAGTAAACACGTAGTCACCCTGCTCGGCTACTGTGAGGACGACAACACCGTCCTGACCGAGTATCACCCCTTGGGCTCCTTGAGCAATCTGGAAGCAACGCTAAACCTTTCCAAGTACCAGAACGTGAACACGTGGCAGCGCAGGCTGCAGATGGCCGTGGACTATGTCAGCATCATCCACTACTTGCACCACAGCCCCCTGGGCACGCGGGTCATGTGCGACTCCAGCGACCTGCCCAAGACGCTGTCGCAGTATCTGCTGACCAGTAACTTCAGCCTCGTGGTGAACGACCTGGACGCCTTGCCCCTGGTGAACCGCAGCTCCAGGATGTTGGTCAAGTGTGGCCACCGGGAGCTGCACGGGGACTTCGTGGCTCCAGAGCAGCTGTGGCCCTATGGGGAAGACACGCCTTTTGACGATGACCTCATGCCCTCCTACGATGAGAAGATTGACATCTGGAAGATTCCAGACATCTCCAGTTTCCTTTTGGGGCACGTTGAAGGGAGCGATATGGTCCGGTTTCATTTGTTTGATATTCATAAAGCCTGTAAGAGCCAGACTCCTGCAGAGCGACCCACGGCACAGGATATTCTAGACACTTACAAGAAGGTTTTGAATTTACTCAGAGATACCGTGATGTCCCAGACAAGAGAAATGCTATAGAAACCAGTGTCCTTCTCAGTGAAGGACAGGTTTTAGGGAACAAATGGAAGAGTTGTAGCAATTCTTGCTCTGACGGAGAGGTCCTTCCTCTGCATCCACATGCACACGTGAGTGGTGTTCACCCCTCGGGGACCGGGGTGGAAGCTGCTGAGGGCACACTGGGTTTGGCTGAAGTCTGGCCTCACTCTCTCACACTGATCACTCCCGGCTGCAGAGGAGAGAAGCAGTGAATCTAGCCATAGCTGAAGGAAGTAACAAAAATGTAGCCACAAAGACGCTTTTCTTGCCCTAATTACTGAGTCTGTAAGCTTGTAGGATATGTATATAGAAAAGGTTTCTAAATGGCAGGATATGAAAGAAACATGCAGTAGCTTTCCAAAGAATTGTTTTCCTCATTTTTTTAGGTGGTAATCAACATGACCAGGGCCACAGGAGTATTTGCAATCTGCTTCACAGGGCATTGTTGAGGCCATCTTTAGTATTTTAAATGACTGTTTAAATGTTTATTTTAATGAATGTGAAATTCTTATGCCATCCTCTTTCCAAAAACCTAAAGAACTATGATAGCATGCTCTTTGAAGTTTTGAATGGACAAGGAATATTTAGGACAGCAAGTATGAGGGAAATTATATCTATGTTACTGCCTTGGATGGTGCTTATGAAATTCCTGTTTACCTTCCAGCTAGGTTTTCTGTGTCCAGAATTAATTATTGTGAACAATTTATATCAATATCACTCATTACTGGAAAATGTCAAACCCTTCCACTTGAGTTGCATGATGGAATCCTGTAGAAAGTTCTTTCTTGGTCACTGTCATCCTCATTTGTAGATTTGGTGTGTATTAATCACCACTAATAAGGTGGTTAAAGCTGACATTGGGGGGCAGAGATGCCCTGCAACAGATGTTGCCTTCCCTTGAACTTGAGCAGGTGTCAGAATCACCAGAATCATAGGGAACTGGGTCCCACCGCAGAGTCTCTGACTCAGTAGGTCTGGTGCAGAGTCTGGGACTTTGCATTTCTAACTGGTGCTGCTGGTCTTGGGACTACATTTTGAGAGCCGCCGTCCTTAACTGTTAGGGAGGGTACTACAAGCAGTAGGATAGGGCAGTATAATTGGTATTATGTCCTATTTTACCACTTGTGGGGCTGATTGGGTCATATGGTTGATCAGAGAATATGCTTCCCTAGAGTATTTTAACTGTCACTTTTTGTTATAAAAACTCTGCCGCAGCCAGCCAGGATGGCTGTGATCAAGAGGGTGGGCAATAACAAGTGTTGTCGAGGATGTGGGGAATTGGAACGCTCTGGTAGAAATGTCATATGGTGCAGCTGCTTTGGAAAACAGTCTGGCAGTTGCCCAGAAAGTTAAAAATAGAGTTGCCATGACCCAGCAATTCCGCTCTAAGTATTTACCCAAGACAATTGAAAACCTGTCTACGAAAAATGTTGCACATGAATAGTCATAATGACATTCATAATAACAAAAGATGGAAATAACCCAAATGTTCATCAACCGGTAAATGGATAAATGGATAAAGAAAATGTGGTATATCCATACAATAAGATATTACTCAGCCATGAAAAGGAATGAAGTACTGATATATATTCCAACATAGATGAACCTTGGAAACATTCTAATTGAAAGAAGCCAGTCACAAAAGACCCCACATTGTATATATGCTTCCATTTATATGAAATGTCCGGAACAGACAAATGCATACAAATAGAAAGTAGATTAGTGGCTGGTAGGGGGTCAAGGCTGAAGAATGGGGAGTACTCTTGCTAGTGAGTACAGAGTTTCTTTTTTGGGGTGATGAAAATGTTTTGAAATTATATAGTGATGGTTGTAGAACTCTGAATGTATTAAGTAACTGAATTGTATAAAAGGACAAATTTTATGGTATGTGAATTATATCTCAATAAAGCTGAGGGAAAAAAAACCCACCTCTGTGCCAAGGCTGTGTATCCCTTATGACACTCTTCACTTGGTGTAGGTGGTTATTGTGTGGAGTTGTTGGTCGTATTACCCTATTCATGATATAATTCTTGTTAGAGGGTTTTTCTTTGCTTTTGGACTTTGCATTGGAGCAAAATCATCAGGCTAAACAAATTTGTTTTGAAATATTGACAGTAGAGCTAAAATAAACAGCATGATGTGGGGGAAGGGGCACTGTGTTAGGGCCAGAAGACTGGAGTTCTAATACCAGCCCCGCCTCTGATTCATTGTGTGGCCTCAGACTAACTGATTTCTAAAATGAGAGCGTCAGTGGGAGCCATTTCCTCCACTGTGCTTCTCTTAAGTTCTCTCCAATGCTTCATCATGCCAGTCCCAGATGCCAACCAGGATCTGGCCTGTCAGGGTTCAGTCATTAGCTTGTGCTCAGACATAATTCAGTACCCAAAGAACTGCAAAATCCTAAGAGCAAGTTACAGCCTAGCTAAAGCCGAGATGGGGAGTTCATTGCCCAATTAGCTGCCTGGCACTCCGCAGAAGCGTTATCAGGAGGGGAGACCAATGAGGTGAGCCATTCTCAAAGCATAGCCAGGATTCAGGGCTCTCTCCCTGCTTACCTATTCCAAATGTTAAAAAAAAAAACAAACCACCGACCTATAGGTTTATAATGGGCTTTCTCATTATCTCATGTGATGCTACAAACACTCCAAGCCTCTGGGGGCATCCAGTGATTGTTAATGATTCAGCAGAGACAGAACACAGGACTGTTTCCAAAGGAGACGCGTGCACATGGGAGCGAGGTGGAAAGCTCATCTGCCACAGCTCTCTGCAGAAAGGTCCTTTGTACCCCCCCCCACCGCCTTTATTTATTTTAAAAATAAACTTCACTCAATTTCTTTTTTTTTTTAATTAACATGTAATGTATTAGAGGTACAGGTCTGTGAGTCATCAGTCTTACACAATTCACAGCGCTCACCATAGCACATACCCTCCCCAATGTCCATCACCCTGCCACCCCATCCCTCCCACCCCCTCCACTCCAGCAACCCTCAGTTTGTTTCCTGAGATTAAGAGGCTCTTATGGTTTGTCTCCCTCTCTGGTTTTGTCTTGTTTCATTTTTCCCTCCCTTCCCCTATGATCCTCTGTCTTGTTTCTCAAATTCCTCATATGAGTGAGATCATATGATACTTGTCTTTCTCTGATTGACTTATTTCACTTAGCATAATACCCTCTAGTTCCATCCATGTCATTGCAAATGGCAAGATTTCTTTTTTTGATGGCTACGTAATATTCCATTGTATATATACACCTCATCTTCTTTATCCATTCATCTGTTGATGGACATCTAGGATCTTTCCATGGTTTGGCAATTGTGGACATTGCTGCTATAAACACTGGGGTGCACGTGCCCCTTCAGATCACTACATTTGTATCTTTGGGGTAAATACCCAGTAGTGCAATTGCTGGGTCGTAGGGTAGCTCTATTTTCAACTGTTTGAGGAACCTCCATACTGTTTTCCAGAGTGGCTGCACCAGCTTGCATTCCCACCAACAGTGTGGGAGGGTTCTCCTTTCTCCGCATCCCCACCAACATCTGTCGTTTCCTGACTTGTTAATTTTAGCCATTCTGACTGGTGTGAGGTGGTATCTCATTGAGGTTTTGATTTGTATTTCCCTGATGCCGAGTGATAAACATCACTCAATTTCAGTAATCACTATTCTCGCCTGAGTTTTGATCATTTAAGGGTAATTTAAAATGTGGAATCATGCTTTCCTACCCCTTTGTAATGTTTTGTGAGGATAAACAAAATGAAGGAAATAACTTAGATTCTTTGGAGCGCGACAATGCAGTTTGGGATCAGAACTCTGAGAAAGGAAGTCAGCAAGAGCACTGCATCCAAGTGTAGTGTTTTATTTATACCTTAAGCACGAATCAGAGTTTTACTACCTGGAATTAACTCCTCTGGAAAGAAAATTTGATTCATTCACTCCCAATTCCAAGTGATTGGTTATGGAGTATTTCACATGGATAAGGCACAGTACGGTATTTTTACCTCTGCAAAGGACCTAGTGCCTATGAAAAGAGCACAGTTTTCTCAGAGTTTGTTGTTGACAGGACTAGTTTGTGACTGGAGAGCCCTTTAGAGTGTTCTTGGGCTCCAGGATCATCTCTGACCCTCGAAGTTTCTAAGGGCAGTTTTTTTTTTTTTTTCCTCCCTAAAGGCAGTTCTGATGACCAGAAGTTCTTGTAGCCACAGGGTGGCTAAAGGCAGCAGGATCATTGCCAAAAGTTATATTCAGAAATTTGGAAATAGGCAGATAGCTAAAGAGGACAGGAACTCTGGACCTCAAATCTGAAGCTCACAGGGTACCCCCTTCACCTTGGGTTTATTTTTTTCCTTAAAGGGTAAAAAACTGGGGCACCTGGGTGGCTCAGTCGTTAAGTGTCTACCTTCGGCTCGGGTCATGGTCCCAGGGTCCTGGGATCGAGCCCCGCATCGGGCTCCCTGCTCGGCGGGAAGCCTGCTTCTCCCTCTCCCGCTCCCCCTGCTGTGTTCCCTCTCTGGCTGTCTCTCTCTCTGTCAAATAAATAAAAAAATCTTAAAAAAAAAATAAAGGGTAAAAAACTATATGTGTAATATGTAAACTATAGCCTATGCTAGACTGTGTTTTTTTTTTTTTCTTTAGCCTGACAATTGTTATTAATCTTTTAAATGGGTTCTTAGAAACGGAAGGAAGTCATAAATTGTCAAAAATCAATTCAAACTGTTCCAGGTGCTAGAATTTTCTTATGAGTAAATTTTTGAGGGTTAATTTTTATTTATTTTGTTTTCAAATTAGGCAGCTTAGGCTTTTTTTTTTTTAAAGATTTTATTTATTTATTTGAGAGAGAGAGAAAGAGAGAGAGAGAGCACATGAGATGGGGGAGGGTCAGAGGGAGAAGCAGACTCCCCGCTGAGCAGGGAGCCCGATGCGGGACTCGATTCCGGGACTCCAGGATCATGACCTGAGCCGAAGGCAGTCGCTTAACCGACTGAGCCACCCAGGCGCCCGCAGCTTGGGCTTTTATAAGGCTCTCACCACGTCCCTCCAATAGGGATTTCATAATTTTTTTCCCAGGACTATTTGGATTATTTAAGGACTAGTATTTGCATAATTATGTCAGGATTCACTCCATCACTACTAGTTAATATAGTTCAATTATGTAAAGTGACCATATATTACATGGATCATAAAACACAGGCATATAGTATGTGTGTATAGTTCACATTAAATAATGGTATATTCCTGTAAAACCAAGTAAATTGATTTTTTCTTGCAGATTATCATTTAAAATTTCCAGGGGGGCAGGCACAGC